CAAGGCTGAAAGATCTATAACATCGATCTCACTATGCACTTTCACTTGTATAAACACCTACACATAAACCCACCCCACAGCAAACCCTACAGCAAAGTCCTTCTATATACATAATGTCCTCAATCTACAACACCCTCTACGCCCTCCCGCCCCCATCCCCCAAACGCACACAACCCATGCAAATCCTCGCCGTAGGCATCTCCCGCTCCGGCACCGAATCCCTCCGCACAGCCCTACACACCCTAGGCTACGAACACACCCACCACGGCTTCGACACGATCCTCCCCCCCTGCAGCCTGCAAGCCATCCACGCGCTCCTCAACAAAAAATACACCACCCACCCAGCACCCAGCACAGCCCAGAAACTCTCCGCCGCAGACTTCGACACAGTCCTCGGCTCCAGCGTCGGCGTGACGGACCTCTTCGCCGCCGAGTTCGCCACAGACCTGATAGCCGCATACCCCGACGCAAAAGTCATCCTGAACGTCCGCCGCGACCGCGAAGCCTGGTACAAGAGCATGCAGCAGACGATGGGGTACTTCGATCGCAACCCCGTCGACTGGGACTGGTGGCGGAGCTGGTTCTGCGCGGAGCTGTTCTGGGTGCGTCAGACTATGGGGCGCGGGCTGATGCCTAGGTTCTTCCGGGGCAGTTTTGAGAGGAACGGGCTGTGGGTGTACGAGCAGCATGTTGCTATGATTCGGGGGCTGGGGCTCGGGGCGAGATTGCTCGAGTGGAGCGTTGAGGATGGGTGGGCGCCGCTTTGTCGGTTTTTGGGGAGGGATGTTCCTGATGCCGAGTTTCCGAGGGGGAATCCGCCTGCTGAGTGGGCGGGGCGGATTGAGCGGACTATGGTTGCTTATCATCGGAGGGCTGTGCGGAATATGTTGCTTTGCTTGGCTGGGGTGGTTGCTTTTGGGGCGTTTTTGGTTAGGTTGTGGTTTGTTTGGAGTTTGAGGTTGGTTTGAATTGATGTTGTGAGTAAAGTGGCATTTGAATAGATCTGTAACGCTCGCTAATACCGGCTAGTCAAACAGAATCACATGGTAATGGCAATGACAAGCAAGGCAACAGTCGCTAACGGTACATGTAGCAATTTGGTTTATACTATGAGTCTACGGAACGCGGTCCTTGAACGGCTTTTGGCCCCAGACGGAAACACTGCGAATGTCAGCTTTGATATTGCTCGGACGGGCGAACTTACACGGTGAAATACGCATTCGTCCGCGCGTAGTCGCGCAGTCCGGCCCTCATCTGCGCGAGGAATACCTGCACTTCCTCGTATCTCCACTGTAGTTGTTAGCCATCTAGGTTCTGTGCCTTGGCCTCTTATAAAGCAACCTACCCCCATTACACGGGTGAGCAGTGCCATGGCCCACCCCTCGATGCCCTGCTCGCAGTGCAGCAGGTTCCACATTCCCAGCTGTTTGTATTGCTCGTCCTTGCTCCATGGACCGACGGGAAGCTTGAAGCGCCGCTCGACTACGTTCTGGAAGCCGGCTTCCACCATGTACCCCCGGGCTAGTTCGGCGATGCGAAAGGTCTTGCCGAACCGCTCTCCGGCTTCGATGAACGTGCGCGACCATACGGAGAGGACGTGGTCGCGGGTTAGAGCACCGTTGTCTGATTTGAACTCGATCGACATCTCCAGTTGGTCGAACCAGGCACCTGGCCGCAGGCCACTGCTCCAGGTATTAGTCTTAGACTATGGCTCAGGAAGTGGGGATAGACCTGTCATACATCAAGACATTGCGATAGAACGCCGGCCAGTCAGCAATCGCCCCGTAGAGCGACCGTACGTGAATCAAATCAAAGTGATCCTCCGGATACGCCCAGTAATCCTCGGCATCGTCGATCTCGAATTTCAAATTCGGCGGAACAAAACTCGGCTGCGTGGGTGATAAATCGCTCCCGATGACTTCGGCGGAGGGATATTCGTCGGCAACGTCGCTGAGGTCGGTTAGTTTGGGTTCAGGTGCACGAACAGTCTTTCACCAACATAGCCCAGATGCCTGTTCCGGTGCCGATGTCGAGTACTCTCTGTCCCACATCAGCTCACATTCCGGGTGCTGGACGGGCAATGCCTACTTGGATGTCTTCGGGGACTGGGGCGAGAAACAGCTTGTTGTCGAGAAGCATCGTGAACATATGATGACTTTATCGGCTGTTAGAATTAAGGTTGCTTCTAGTGTGTATTGAACATACGCTATATCCAGTTGCTCGTTTTGCGTTTCGTCGTTTGGACCCCTGGATGGTCTAAGTTAACGCAATCGTCTGTCGGACAATGATAGTACCAGTAAGCCCCATCTCTGTACGCATGGTAACGTCTTCCGTTCTCATATCGATAGCTTGTGATCATAGAGTTGAGTGAAGTGGTGTCGCTCTCACTGGATCATAAATCATCAGCACGGCGACAATTGATCGCCGGAGACATCTCACAATTCCTCAGCATAATCGGACTCTTCATAATCTTCTTCTGCTTCGTCTTCCTCCGGGATAGGCTAAAGCAATCAGTCCAACAATCTAGACTAAGGGGGGAAATAAAAAAGATATGAAGATAACGAACCGGATGAGTCGGGGAATCCTCTGGTGGACTCTGTTCCTTAGGCGAAGACGCCGACAGCGAACGGGATGATCGGTGAGATCTTGCTGCTCCCATGATGACTGTCTCAAGTCAAGCCGTTCCCCACACCCCTGGCTCCGACCGAGTAAGGATTGCACCCAAAAGATACAGGGGATCAGCTCAGTTTATGAAGCGACGACAAGTCTCCACCTACTGAATCAGACTTAGCAGGACGATCCTCCGTATAAGGTTTAGTCCCCAGGCACCGTGCGCTCTGCCCAATCGACCCAATGAACGGGGCGTGAAGCGAAAGAGAATCCACTCGTAAACCCACCGGGTCCAGCTCCATGCGAATAGTGGAACTGCGCGCTGTGGGTCTGCTTTAGAGGTGCCGCGGCCTAATATGCCGGCTTACTCCGTACTTCCCTAGGCCGTTCCAACGAACAAGGATGCCCTCTGGTGAAGATATCATGGCATCGTCTGATACGATATGGTGCGTTCCACAGATATGCGTCCCCCTCAGCGACCCATGTCAACTATCTTCGCTAGCTTGCGCCGGCTCAACAGTCGTACATCTCACCACGTAGTCGTGAGCTAGTCTGCGAATAGACGGTGTTTATTTGCATTATAAATCAGCCAGACGCAGGCTTAGTGGAGAATCCTTGCTGTTTTTCTTCACTGGGTTGAATTAGTGCTGACTTGGTCAGAAGGTCGAGATGCAGAATGGAATTCGTAGTCTGTCATTGTACTACTCTTCTCTTCAATAAGAAAGTTAAAGCACGCAAATACCAGGTCATGTGTTTTCGGTACCCTAGTGTTGATGATAATATTTATTGAATACTAACATGTAAGCAATACTACACTGAATAATCACTTATTACTCAAAATCGATACTGAATGTGAGTTTAATATAGTCTGTGGATATTGCATCCACCGACCAGAAGACTCAGGTAGCAATGCGCACTTATTTGTGAAAAAAGTCTTACATTCTGTGTTTTCCTGCCTCAGATATGCCTGCTATTCTCTATTGAACAAAACCTGTCACAACACATCAAGTGAATAGGAACTTCCCGAGTGAAGCACTGCAAGTGTAGTGAATTATTCAATTTACACTCCCCAACAAAGACCTATATAAGACCTCTACCTAACCTCACATTTTATTCCTGTGTCAGTCGAGCTGCCCTCACTTGTCCTTGTCATATTCTAACCGTATCAACTTACATTAACCATACCCTTCGAGAGTCCAGACCAATGCCCTCCTAGTGGATGACAAATGCTGCGAGAACTGCGGTTTTGTGACTTCACCAGGAAGATTGTCCCCAGTGCAAGCCTTGAAAGGAGGTAGGCCATCTAATTCGGGACTGTACGCGTGTTCCTCCGGGTCCTAATTGCAATCAGAAGGGGCATCCGGAGTATCGCTGTCCTCAAGAGCCGACGTCACCGCCTGTGGTTCAGTCTACTGCGTAGCCGGAGCGTTAGTTGGTTTGTGCTTGTTCAGTTTCAGTTACTGGTTTCGCATACTTGATGTTGCGGTTGAGAAAACCAAAAAAAGAGACACTCATATCCTCCGTGGCTTCCATGAGACACCCTCTGCAGGCAAACTCGACGCAACTATTAGCTTTGCAGTATCTGCAGCAAATCAGTCTATAACAGCCCGCGAAAACAACTCTGGTATCTCTCCTCCCTGGTTTATTCAACACTGCAGTTCTCACAAAAGTGTTTGACCACTCCAAACGACTCTATGCCGCTGTCCTGAATTGCCATAGAAGGCGTTGTCTATCAAACCAACTCATGCTGCTCTACTTAGTCTGTACACCGTCGATATACTTGGTATGTTTGATACCGAATTATCTATTTGTGTCTGGCTGTTTCTGGGTTTACCCTCAGACTTGCAATGGGTTTCCATATTATGTCCGCACTCCCTGCATGGGATAAGCGAAGCCCCCTCTAAAATGGCTCACCCGAGAGCATTGGAGTTCTGCCAGGTATGACATATGGTATAATAGGTGTCAAGATTGAGGATTTCAATCTGGTAGATACACCAACCTTCAACAACCGTCCTCTATTCTAGGGCATGTTCGTCTATATGACCGCCATACACTTGCCAAAGAACCAGGAAAACGACTCTAACTTCCACAGAGGAACGATAACAACAATGACCACGCAACACACAACGAACCGTAAGGAAATACAACAACCAAATTAGAGACCAGACCCAGACACCTACCATTCTCCATCACCATGTCTGACCAATTTCAAACAACCCTATTCACATCCAAATTCACCCACCTCTTGAAGCAATACATGTCAAACAACATGGCCATTAAGTGACCATCACTTCTTCACCGTTAATAATGCTTTCTGCCCCACTGCAATACTATGAAACCTGGGGGTGAAAATTTTCTTTATGCAAAGTAAGGGCCCGACTTGATCAGTGGCCCTTGTGGCGTAATGGTAGCGCATGAGACTCCTATGGTAGTCTATCTCAAGGTTGCGGGTTCGATCCCCGCCAAGGGTTTTATATGTTTTTGGTTTAGTATTCATGAATTGCACTTATGTTTTGTCTACTGGTGAGGAGTTCAGTTGGGTTGCCCGGTTTGTGAAGGTGTAAGATAATCCCGTAGCGTACCGGAATGTACTTCCGCCCGCCAAACCCTAGATTTATAAGTGGGGACAATGCTTTTATTGTTTCTTAGGTTTTAGAGGAACTCCACTTGGTCAGTTTGTATATTTTAGAGTACTGTGGGTAGATACTTTGTAGGCATTCAATCGAGCTTATATGCTACTGGGTGTCGGGGCTGTAGAAGACCTATTTGCAAAGCATTTAGCTGCTGTGGTACGCCTAAAGCAATCTTCGTTATTGGTATCCGATATCTATTCTGATCATCAGTCATAGCAAACATCAAGTCTCCATTATCTATACATGAATCATCTCAGATCCGCCCAGAGACATCTGAAATCTGGTTCGCATCAGATGAATTGGACAGCTTATTCTTCCTGAGTGACCGTCATATCCAGCACTTCCACCCGTCCTCTGCCGCGCGTGTCGTTGCCTACAAATTCGTTCAGTCCCTTGTACGCGCCCGGATCTGCGAAACCGACAACCTCCCACTCGTCGCCTGCGATTTCCTGAGACTCAACGGACTCGATGAAGCTCAGGATCTTGTCCTTGACATTGCCCGGTGCCTTGGGCTGCGGGGGTTCTGCATCGGAGCCACCCTCGGCATCGGAGTCTTGGTGACGGGCTGACTTCTTGGAGCCCTTTCCGCCCTTCTTATTGGATTTCGAGTTTGACGGGGCTTCCTTCTCTTTATTGGCGGCGCCAGCTGCTCCGGACTTGACACTCTGCTTCAGAAGCGGAACGGGACAAGTTACGCGCAGACGCATCCGTGCCCGCATCACCGGGATGGGTTGCCACGCGATGAGTGCCTTCATAGCCTCAAGCGCTTGGATTTTCGCAGACTTATTGGGAGTAACACCGGTCCACAACGGCTTGCGAGGCTGTGCTGGGCGCGATTCTTCGTTATTCGCATTCGCATCCGCATTTGCGTTTTGACTCTGCGATTGTTGGCCACTCGCCGAACTCAGTTGATCCAATGCTTTCGAAATCATTCCTGGTGTGTAGACTCGTTTCGTCGTCGGGTCAACAAGCCGTCCCGATACGATATCCAGAACCTCCTTCTCAACGCGCTCGATGATTTCCTTTCTCTCTCGTTCGCCAACTTGGACTTCGCCTTTCCGCAAAATTTCCTGTAGGATTTCCTCGGTGGGGGTGCCGGCGCCGAATGCTTTGGCTAACTCTGCTGAGGGAGCGGTTTGGGCTTTGGAGACGGACAAGAAGACTGTGGGTACTTGGAGAACATTGTCGAGATCTTTTTCGGCTCCTGAGCGGTATTCTAGTAGTTTGTTCTTATAACAGGCGAGTTCGAATCGTTTTTTGCCTGGTGAGGTAGAAGATAAAAAATGTTAGCGGGGTTGCGATGCGATGGTTTGTTCTTCTTTCTCTCGTTCTGAAGTTCCCCCGCAGTACGACAACTGATCTTCAAGCGATTTAAATGGGAAAATACAAAGAAAAAGAAAAGAAAAAAAAAAAAAAAAGGCAGATCATTACGTACCTTTCTTTAGTCTGACCACTGATACATTGGTGAACTTGATCTGATTGGAGGGTTGTTGGATAGGCATCTTGCAGGATGCGTCTTACCGGAAGACGCAAGTATTAAACTTGAATATATGCAGGTAAAATATTTTCAAAAGGGCTCGTTAAACAAAAGACAGAAGTCACTGCAGGTAAGAAGATGAAAGAATGACCAACTTTTTTGATCTTTTCCGATAGCCGTTTGATTGGCTGACCGGGTGATGACGCTGATCCCGTGACCCTCATGACTCAGCAGACGGTGACTCCACACGTGATCAGTCGATCAGGGAACATGCTGGATGCTGATTGGATGCCCCGGGAAAGGTACTATCGGCGTCATCGGCGCGCTTGTTTCCATCGGTCAACCCCAGGGTCAACCCAAGTCCCCCAACTTCTTTTCCCTCCCAACTCTCTCTCATCTCTCTTCCTTTCTTCTTTCCTCAGAGATAAACTGAATCTTCATCAACTGTTTGGTGTGTTCAGTCTATTTCTAGCTGTGAGTTCAAATCTGCCCTTTTCACGCCTAATCTCTAGACATTAGCTTGGTACTGATAAGGGAACCCTCCAGACCGCAAGGTACCCTCTTATTGTTTTCGTCTTTTCATCTCCTTCAGCTCCCTTTCCCTTTCCATATTTGGGCCAATTCAGATCACCATGAGACTTCTGCCAGCTACTTTGCTGGTCGGAGCTGCCACGGCGGTAGTTCCTCAGTACCAGCAGCAGGTGTTGCAGCCTGAGGAAGTCTTGGCTCAGGCGAAGGAGAATGTTGAGAGCTTTGCCAAGCCTCTTCATGCCTTCCAGGAACAGCTGAAAACCCTGTCTGATGAGGCCCGTAAGCTCTGGGACGAGGTTTCTAACTTCTTCCCGGAGAGCATGGACCACAACCCTGTCTTCTCCCTCCCCAAGAAGCACACCCGCCGCCCTGACTCTCACTGGGACCACATTGTCCGTGGCTCTGATGTCCAGAGCGTCTGGGTGACCGGTGCCAGTGGCGAGAAGGAACGCGAGATTGATGGCAAGCTGGAGGCTTATGACCTCAGGGTCAAGAAGACTGATCCCAGCTCTCTCGGTATTGATCCGGGTGTGAAGCAGTTCACCGGCTATCTCGATGATAACGAGAATGATAAGCATCTATTCTACTGTGGGTACCTTTGACCGCTCTTTGATCCCTGAATGTGAGGCTGATCTGCAAAGGGTTCTTCGAGTCTCGTAATGACCCGGCGAACGACCCTGTTGTCCTGTGGCTGAACGGTGGCCCGGGATGCTCGTCCCTCACTGGCCTGTTCCTGGAGCTGGGACCTAGCAGCATTGGCGAGAACATCAAGCCCATTTACAACAATTACTCATGGAACTCCAATGCCTCGGTGATCTTCCTTGACCAGCCTGTTAACGTTGGCTACTCCTACAGTGGCTCTGCCGTCAGTGACACTGTTGCCGCTGGCAAGGACATCTATGCTTTGCTCTCTCTTTTCTTCAAGCAATTCCCCGAATATGCGAAGCAGGACTTCCATATCGCTGGTGAGTCCTATGCTGGACACTACATCCCGGTCTTCGCGTCTGAGATTCTGTCTCACACGAAGCGCAACATCAACCTCAAGTCTGTCCTCATTGGCAACGGTTTGACCGACGGCCTTACCCAGTATGAGTACTACCGTCCTATGGGCTGTGGCGAGGGTGGCTACCCAGCTGTCCTCGATAAGGGAGCCTGCCAGTCGATGGACAATGCCCTTCCTCGTTGCCAGGCCATGATCAAGGCCTGCTACGACTCGGAGAGTGCCTGGATGTGTGTCCCTGCTTCCATCTACTGCAACAACGCTCTCATCGGACCTTACCAGCGCACTGGACAGAATGTCTATGACGTGCGTGGCAAGTGTGAGGATGAAAGCAACCTCTGCTACAAGGGCATGGGCTACGTGAGTGACTACCTCAACAAGGCCGAGGTCCGTGAGGCCGTGGGTGCCGAGGTTGATGGTTATGACTCCTGCAACTTCGACATCAACCGCAACTTCCTCATGCACGGTGACTGGATGAAGCCCTACCATCGCCTTGTCCCTGGCCTCCTTGAGCAGATCCCTGTCCTGATCTATGCCGGTGATGCTGATTACATCTGCAACTGGCTGGGCAACAAGGCCTGGACTGAGGCCCTCGAATGGCCTGGCCAGAAGGAGTATGCCTCTGCCAAGCTGGAGGATCTCTCCATCGAGTTGAACGAGGACAAGGGCAAGAAGATCGGCCAGGTCAAGTCCTACGGCAACTTCACCTTCATGCGTCTCTTTGAAGGAGGACACATGGTGCCCATGGACCAGCCCGAGGCCGGCTTGGAGTTCTTCAGCCGCTGGCTGGGTGGTGAATGGTTCTAGATTGGGCCGTGCTTAATGAGCAATACCCGCTCTCACCGGTGCTCCATTATGCTGTAGCACTTCACGACCGATCTTTAAGGAATGTTTGGATGCAATTAATGTTTTGAATGGTTATGTATGTTAATTGCTTGTGATCGTACTCGGACTTTCTATCGTTGGGTATATAGATGAAGATTCGAAATGCCAAGTCCAGGTTTATCATGAACTATTTGATACTTCGTCTATAAATAGTAATCCATTAATTGTAGGTTCAAGAAGTTCTTCAAGCCAATGAAACTACTTGAAAGTTCTTACATGCCCATAAGTTCAGGTTCCACAGGGACCAGACTATGAGCCCATTAGTAGTCCCGCTGCACATAAGATCAAACTACGATACTAAACGCAAGCCCCAGCTGGGGAGGGAGAGTGAATTTGTGATTCGTTCATATTGGTATGATTGTTTCATTTTTTCGACCCGTGCCGTTTTATGTTCAACACCAGATCATGTGCAGGTCCCACGATAATTCGTTAAAACACACCAACATATAAAAAGAAGTTCCCCCATCTCCGAAACGCACTCCAGCAAGTACGAAGGAAAACAAAGCAGCGTAATGTCCCTCTCGTATGGCTTAGCCCTTCTTCTTGCTGACACCGACGGTGCGGCCACGGCGACCGGTAGTCTTGGTGTGCTGACCACGGACACGGAGACCCCAGTAGTGACGGAGACCGCGGTGAGAGCGGATCTTCTTGAGACGCTCAAGGTCCTCACGGATCTTGCTGTCCAAGTTGTTGGAGACCAGCTGGGAGTCCTTGCCATCGGTGATGTCGCGCTGTCTGTTCAGGAACCAGGTGGGGATCTTGTACTGGGTAGGGTTCTGCATGATGGTGACGATACGCTCGAGCTCTTCGGTGGTAAGCTCACCGGCGCTGTAGTTGAAAAATTCCAGTTAATCTTCTGTTCTTGCCTGATGTGTTGTCGAAGTCCGATATTTCATTTTTTTTAATTCCTCCGTATCTTTGTCGTCGTATCCAGTACTGAAGATA